GACAAACTAATGTTCTAATCTTCCACCTGCCTCTCAGTATCCCTTTCGGTCTAAAAGGGTTAAAAGATAAGGATGATTTCTTTTCGACGTTTCGCTCTCTTCAGAGACTCGATTTTCTTTGGAATAAAACGTTCTTGTTCAGATCGAATCCAATAATTTTCGCATCTTATTTCTTCATCGTTAATGACCGTCATGGTTTGTTTTCCTAATATTACCGAGATCTCTTTATCACCGTTTCCTCAACTTTTTAAATTACTATTTGAGTTTATACCCTTTCTTCAACTGCCGTGCATACAATTCATAATATCATTAATATTTTTGCGTATTCTAATTCTTCTTCATGACAGTTCTCTTCATTCTGTCGAGGCCACAACTCAGACACATTCTAAGCCATTCTGGTCCTTGAAACCAGATAGGATTGTTTTTCATCTGGAAGTTTAGCTCCTCTCGAAGCAAATCAGCGGGAATTACATTTACCGGGGCAATAATGCCAATTTTTCTGGGGATGTCCAATTTTGTATTTCCTGAAATTTTTAACGAAAAGCTTAAATTTCTTTGCACATCTTTTATCCAAAAGTGTGATTTTGAATCAGTCCCAAAAAACAAAAAGTTTGTAACTTTAAACTTTATTGAGGCTAGTGCCTAATTTGGCTGACAAAAGAGCTCCCATTAGTTTCCAACCTGTAGGTGAGCGTTTTAAAGACGCTACTCTAGTCTTTGAAGCACAAAACCGTAAATAGTTGTTCATTTGCTAGAAATTATACTAATACGCTACTGTACCATATGCCTTTTGCTACGTCAAAAACAATGCATTCAATTCTGTCCACAGCCTATTACCGATTCAGAAATCTATCGGGAATACGATTTCCAATGGGAAACTTCTTTGCCCAGTTTTCCAACAGAACAAAATTTTCTGTAGTTCATCATCCCATCTAAAGCAGTGTCCAATTTGCTGCAATATGTTTGACTCTAAGTACAACGTGATAATAGACCTACAGATCAAAATTCGTCCTATTTCTGTAGACAAACGTTTGTATTAACTGTTTTGAGAGAAATGTTATCAATTTTTTAATCAAAATAAATTATTCCCTTGTTGCCCAAGCGACTCCTAACACTTTCAATGGAGGATTCCGCTTCCGAAACATGACTAATTCTCGATTCAAACCTTCTTAATCAATTCGCGCAGTTCTTGAGATTGTGTGCCATTTATGTAGAATCATACTACATCTCTAAAAATGCTGACCTTTAAACTGGTACTGAAAGCAGTTCAACGTTTTGGTGTCCTCCAATATTCTCTACATAATGTATCATTAGAAATCGCAAGTGCAGGGTTTTTTCATATTGTTCAAATGGTGTTTAATGGTTGCAGCCAGTAAAATGACGCTGTTTACGCCAATACACCGTGGACGAAGTTATAAAACTTTGTGGATCTTCGAATGTTTTTATAACAAAAACGCGTTACATCTCTGTCCTTCTCTCTACTTCTATCTGAAGAAAGCCTGCTTTAGCACTTTAATGCTACAGGTGAAGCTGAAGCCACAAGTTCAAGAATGCAGGATCAAATTGGACCAATATCAAGCGTCATTTAACGAGTTTCACCAGTCCATGTGAAACGCGTCGAAACGAGCGTTTACTAGTAGTCGATCACTACGAACGGTTTCTGGAGCAAATAAACGTGATTCATTCAATCAATGTGTCTGAACTGGTTCAATGATGTTTTGTGTAAATAATTTGTAGAACTGTTGATACGATAAAAGAGTTCAGGGTTATCTGAATCTTTACAAGTTTCCAAATCGTTCAGCGCAATCGCTTTATGTCATGTAACTCATATTTTTCTATAGCTTTCTGGCAGCCTACTTGTAACGAGAAGTTTGTATAAAATTCCGATTCGATTTTCCATTGGTATTGTCTAATGTTCAATAATTCATTTCAGGTTTTTATACCTACTTCAAGCTCCCAAATTCTTTATCTGATCAATATTATATCTTCCCAATTAGATTAAGGTGACGTGTGTGTTGTACCTTTAGTGTACCGCAGAGACCAACCGAATACGTTTCAGCAGCGCTAATGTTTGTCTAAACGTAAGTTTCCCGTTATTACATCATATAATGATCAGCTCTATCAAAAGAGTAATTTTTCTTTGCAATCCCAGATCTGCGAGTTAAACCTCTAACGTTTGCCTAATGTGTCTATCCAGATTAGGAGTGTAAATCAACTTGAATTTGTTCAGTCACGAGAGCTCAATTCGATTTCAATTCGGTTTCCTTGTTCTGTATTTTATCTAACAACGTCAATGTTTTTCTAAGGTGTTTTATTTCCAAACGTAAAACCGAAGAGTCTTGTTCGAATAACGGACTTCATTTATCCCGATTCTTTTAGGAGTACGCTACTACCTGAATCCAGTAGAGCTCTAATTAAAACCGACTGCGTAGTTGTTGAGTGTTACGCAACAGTTTGAAGTGAATAGTTTAATTTTGCTGCGTGAGGGCGAAAGAACATCGATCTTCTATACTTTATTTTTTCATTCGTTTTTTCTCAGCGCGAAGCATATGAACGGTTATGTCACCTTTGCACTTGGAGCGACGAGATCGCTTCGACACTGCTTTAGGCGTGGTTTAATTTCAGGCAAAGGTACATCGGAATGTTACGTAATAAATTTCTCTTCTCATCACTGTCAGTGATTCACGTCTTCAGGAATTGGATGATTACAAAACAACAATTAGTTTTGTTTTTTAACCGGCGCCACGCTGTGAGTGGAAGGACGATACTCCCCTTCCCACCTTCCTTTATAAACACAGGAAGTGCTTCTGATTTATGATGAAGCAAAATGGCTTCTCTCGCGACGTCCATTCTAAACGAAAAGTCATAATTCGTCAACATAAAAAGATGACGAATCCGTTCACGATGATTCTAAGTTATATCAGACGGCAGAGTTTCATTATGGCTGGAATCAACATATAACTGTATTTACCGGTGATTCTATATTTCAACTGCGTATTGAGTTTCGATGGTCACAAAGTTTGCGATTTTACAGTTCACTGGTTGTACTGGGGTAAGATTCAGGTTTTTGCATGGTGAGTTTATAATTATATCTTTTACCAACCTGTTTTAGTATTCGACAACTTCATCTAATTTGGTTCCGACATGCAAAAGCCTTCTATCGCTTTCGCGTTGCCGATAGTCGATTTTAAAATTAATTTTTCGATCTTTGTTAAAGATTCATTTCATGGATTGCTACCTTGAAAGTCCAAAAACTTGTCTTGGGTGTAATCTCATAGATTTAGCGAGGTTATTTTGCAGACGCGTACTTTTGTTTCGATTTTAGATTAGTTTCGTTAAAGAGTTTTCAATCCGATTTGTTACTTTATTCAATCTTTCAATTTTTAGTTGCTTGAATTGCCATAACTGAATTTCTCTTCGTATCGATACAAGATAATTTCTGTTTCAAACTCTTCGCCTGATTTCAGTCACGCTCTATCTGAGCATCTAACTCACTCGAGCTTGATTTGTGATTATTGATCTAAATTCTTCTAATGTACTTGTAATTCTTCTTTATTCAACCGATTCGATTTTTTTTAGAATCTTGGCCGGTGGTCCTGATACTTTGCGTTTCGTTATTTACAACGACTCTCCGCCATTTACTACAATAAAGTTTTTAGCCTTACCTTTTTTGCCGACTTCGCACACTTGCAACGTGCTAATCCAATCTTCCCGCCAGCACCACTGATTCAAATATCTAAATCATAAATCGACATCAACTTTTTAATGTAACTTTTAATATGTACAATATTTACAGATCATAGATCAACATGGTGGTCTGTGACAATAAAACTATATGCTTCATAATCGAAATCGAATCAATAGCACCGAGTGTTCCTAATCAATCTGCGAACCATCACACATCCATCTATCGAGCTGCCGGTGGAGAGTCTCTGGAAATTCAGAAGGCACGTCGCGTCTCGTTAACACGCAACGCTAGCGCCATCTATCAATTAATCAAAATAATTTCCACAACAATTCATAAGTCATGTGGTTCTTTTTTTTTTTTCCTAATTATTCCGTAGAGACGCCACATTCCTTATCAGTAGTCCAATCTTATCAGCAAGTCACACGCTTCGGAGGCCCCCCCCTTTCGTGCTTAGGAATTTCCTTAGAGGGGGAAAAATGGGGATCTCTTGAACATCGATGAATTTAGAGTATAATATTTGTAACTAAGATCCTCGAAATTTTTCAGGTCTCAAAACTTAGAATTATGAGCAAATATAAATACAGTGTGACTGAATTTGTTAAACGTGTACTATATTAAATTACAACGGTTAAATTAATAAATAAATTTTATATTTAAGTAATATTTAAGAAAAATAAACTCTATAATTTATTTCTTTATTTTTGCTGATATGCTCTCACACTGTGTGTGGATTTATCATTTTGTCAATTACTGTTTTTCTGAAATATACATGAATTTTTTGGAAAAGGTAAAAATTAATGTTACTTTAGTTAAAATAATATGTACATCTCTGTGATGTTATGTGTCTTTTGTAGTTAGGTCTCAAGATAAAGGCATCCACATTGACATATAGGAACTTTTATTTTTTTATTTATTTTTTTTTAAGTTTAACTTAGCTAAAGTTTTCTTCTTAAGACACTAATTTTTGCAAATGAACACAGTTTCCTCTCCTTTTGTTTACACTCATGGACACAATCGTACTGTAAGAAATTTTCTACTTCCTTTCCTTTTCTTTCTATAAGGGCCTTCCATCCCTCGATTACATTTGGGCCATTTATTTTTACTTTATTTTGTCCCATCTTTTCTTCCTGGCCTTTCAAACTCGTATAAAAATGTACGAAGTTACTTTTTACTCTCCTCTGAAATACGAAATTGCCCTTTTTAAATATAACTTTCCTTCGCACCTAAGCTTGATTTTTCGCCTATCTGAGCAGAAAAACTTAGCGGGTGCAAAACAAGACATCTGTCTACTTTGTCTATCTGTCTGCGATATCATAATTTGTGCTTACCGGCGAGTAAGTTTCGGTTGACTTGGTGCGAAAATAATGGGTAGTAACTGTAATTTAGGGAAGCCAACCTTCACAAAGTTAAAGAAGAAGAACTGTAATTTATAAAACGAATCTTATACGATTTTTAGTGAACACGATGTTGGATTTGGATGATGAACTTTCTCAGGATTTTATGCTCATGCAATCCAGGCAGTGGAGTTCTGGTTATACCGCTGCAATAACTGGCTACAGTTCGGAATTGCAGTGTTCAACGAAAACAAAGCGTGATGAAATTATGCGTTCAAATCAAAAAACTTTACAGTTTAACATACATTCTGGGGTATATAATAAACTCGTAGATTTTAAACTTCCTCACTGCCTCCAGTACCGAGAAAATGGAATGACTTCGAAATGCAATTTGAGCTCACAGGTTATAAGTTTAAAACTGAGACAACTGAAGTTAGTTAATTCTAGTCGTGTAGATTTGTCGGATTATGTAAGCTGTTATTATGTAAAAGGTTTTAAGAAAGACTTGGTAGGCGTTTGGACTTATCATGAATATTCAGCAGCGTTATTAAAATCTGTTTCATTTCAGTATTCTAAACTTACATCAAAATCTGATGATTTACTTCCTAGTATTTCCGAGGCATTTTGCTCTGATATTGTGAATTTGCCAAGTTATAAAGTATTTGATTTATGTGGATTGTCAACAGGTGACCAAGATTACATTTTGTATGTTGCCAATTCTTATTCTCGTCATAAGAATATTGCACACTTGGCACCAATTGATGTAAATGAATGGGCTGACCAACCTGATGATGTGGTGAGACGTTTTGAACATCAAGAAATTCTCTGGAGTTGTGCTTGGAATAGTTTCAAACGCCGTTTTGCTATTGGTGCTGACAGGTGTTTCTATCTTCATGATTATGTAAGTTTCTCAGACAAAATTGAATTGCCTAAAGGACAGCCACATTCCTTAGATTTTAATAGCAATGGTAATTTGCTATATTGTGGGCTTCACATGGGAGAACTGACCTGTTTTGATCTTCGTTCAGAAGACAGAGTGCCTGCTTTAACAGTGTCACTCTGCAAAAACATTTCATACATTAAACTTCTTTCAGATGAACAAACTATTATTGCCAGTGGATTCAACAACGTTCTTCTGAATGTTAGTATATTTAAATCGTTAAGTAATCTTTAAATCTCTGAGTAAAAGGGTAAAAGTGCAGAATTACCCACTGCTTGACATGTTTTTAAGAATTACTCGGTATCCATGTACAGATCGACTTATTTTCACTTTAAAAAAAAAATCCCAGAATTGCACAAAAATGGCATTGACTTTATCCATGCACACATTGGCCTATTTTCACTTAAAAAGTCAATGAAAATTGACAAAAATTCAATTCTTCTTACTCTTGTAAAAAAGCACCAAACAAATACGTGGGCGATTCTGCACTTTATCCAGTAAAAGAATGAATTATGATATATGTATATATCACTGGTGGTATTCAAATAATTAAGGCCATTTCATAGCACTTTTGATCATTAAGTTTTTTAAAAAAAAGTGCAGTGTGAAAACTTCAGCTTAAAACCTAACATATAAAGGAACTTACCTTTAAAATATTTAAAAAAATAAATAAACTGCAATTGGATTGTTATAATCCAATTTTAGTTTGAAATTTATACAGATTTAACCATATTACTTCCAGTGTATGCTATATGAAACACTTCAGTTTCTTTTTGTTGGCCGACCTTATCAAATGTGATGCTGGAAGCTAAGTGTCACTTACAGCCTAAAGCTTGATATATTAAAATGGAACATTTTTTCTAACTTTAAAAATGTGCAAATGATGTCAAAATGTTGTAAAACGTAATTGAATGGAATGTCTTGAGTGCCACTCTATTGTTGTGAGTATTACTTACTATTTTATTATACGAATGTGAAATGCACACAATACTTGCAACATGCTTTCAGAGTTTAGAAATGTTTCACACTCTGCAAGCAGCATAGAATCTAGTATGTAAGTATGGCAAAGTGGGCATTGACATTTAAATTCTTAAATTTTCTACTACTTTATTATATAGAAATAATTTGAATATGTTATAAGATCTGATCCTTCTTGCTATCATACGAAGTGTCTAGATCTCCAAGTATAACCTGGCGACATCTCGCACAGGCGTGGAAAGCAACATCATAGGAAAAGAATAAAAAAAGCCCTTTTTATTTATCACAACTCTTTAACAAAGGCACAAACTTTGTGCTCACAAAAACACTGACTACTTGCAATGAGAACTTAAAAATAAATTTGAAAGGTAAGAAGTAGTGCTAGTATTCACAATTTAATTTAATCTAACAGGCTGACGTAGCAACTTATACTGGCGATAGACTAACCAGATGTCCAGAATGCATAGCCACTACCAGAGCCAGATTTGATAAGGCCCCAAGCTATTTGAGATATGGGACTCTTTATAAGTCTATTATAATATATTTTAATACTATTTACACTATATTTTAATTTGGGGAGAGAGCCCTTAGCTATAGCTTGTGTAGCTTATACGTAAATCCAGCTCTGGCCACTACTAAGTTTAACAGCTGGAGAACAAAATAGCAGACGTGCACTACACTCTGTCTAAACTATTTGTTTCACCCCTTTAAATACTCTTTCACTCGCTTAATTTGAATCCTAGCGAGGGGAGATAGAGAATTCAGAAAAGGTACCAAAATTAAAATAACTAGTTAGTGAACTAAGGGAAATTCTACAATGTGAATTTGATAAAAGTTACTTATTGGGCACAAATTGGCAACTTTTCTCAAAAAAGAAAAAAATCACTAAACTATCAATATTTATCATTAAGTTGGAAAGCATATCAGAAGGAACTAGGCTTCAATTTAAAATACAGATTTTAATTATTAAAAAAGAATTGTATGATACATTAAGCATATATATTGTATAATATATTACAATTGTTCTTGTGTAGACAGTGATCTGGGTGAATCTTCGGAATATGGTAACTTGGCGAAACTTTGGCGAACAACCCTGCTACAGCAACCTGCAAGATTTTTTTTTTGGACGCCATTTTGTTTTCACGAAGTAAAGCCATTTTTTTTAATACTCAACATTTTTTCCAACAATCTGCTAGCCGAATTACGCTAATGCTAGAACTTTTATGGCACAAAGGGGTAACCTTGGATTATGGTAACTTGGGAACATTTGGCGACCACCCGCTCAGCACCTCTATTTTTGTTTGGACCCTTTGTTTTCACGAGATGAGCTTTTTTTTACTCACATTTATTCCACAATCTGCTAGCCGAAATCGTTTGCTAGCTTTTTGACAACAGTGCTTAATCATGACGAAGATTAGTGCAAAATGGGAGAAAATGCAGAATCGCACTGTTGGCGTTTTTAAAATTGGCACATAACGCACCATGTACATGTCGACCTTTTTACTTAAAAAACATCCCAGAATTGCACAAATCATTGCACACCTTTACTTACCATAACAGCTAAAGTCCAGCTATAACCTTATCGCCTACCAAATGGCACCAAACCCTGTTACATATCCAAGATTAACAAAAGTGCGAACATGCGAAATTGTCAAAGGAGAAAGGAGAATCCCCCTGCTGCCGCTTAAATTGCATATAAGCATGACATACAGGACATCAATGACTAATGAAGTGCAATCGTTGATCCAGCGCAGACGCGGCGATCCGGATAGAACTAATTTAAATCGGTAAGATTGCGCAGAGTATAAAATTAAAATTGAACCGGGAAATAAAGAGCAAATCTGATCTAAGGGTACTTTACAAAAAAAAAAAAAAAAAAAAAAAAAAGCTTAAGGTGTTTACTTTATTAAACGGGCTTCAACGCGCATAGGCGTAAAACATACATCGCATACACAGAAAATGCACCAAAACATATTGTTCATGATATTGAGAGGGAATTTTGAGGAAATCATATCAAAGAGGAGGACATCGGAGAATACTCATTTAGAAGGATTATAACCGAAGAAATAAAACTCGGCCCTAAGTAAGGATAGTCTACACAACTTCCGTCCAGGGCGCCGCGACGTCCTCCCCCAGAGCAACAGAATTGATAAACAATTCGGAATGGTAGAGAAACAAGGGATGCCTTAGCCATTTTTGCACAATGCCACTTTTGATGTGGATCGAACTGCTTTTGCGTATGACTTTGGCAGTACAGAATGTAATTCTTTTGACATAATTGAAGTTCAACTTACTTTATAAAATTCTCAACGTCGCAAAAATAAGCCGGATCCATGGAAATTAAGGACATGCAATCGGCAACATACCTGAAATAGATAATTAGCTTAGCTAGCCGTCTGTTTATACATTCAACGCACTGCGTAAACGATTATGCTCATGCGTAAATGCACATGCGTTACGCATCGCAGAAAGCGGTACTTGAGGCTGGTATAATCTTCGATAAAGACGTTGACTGACATGGTATCCATACACTCGACCTATTTCACTTAAAAACTCCCAGAATGCACAAAATGGGATGCACACACCTGACTTTGCCATGCCGCATCGACTATGTTCACTTAAAAAAAAAAAAAAAGGGACAAATCCTCTCTTACTCTTGAAAAAGCGCCAAACAAATAAAGGGCGATTCTGCATTCGCAAAATGTTCTATGCTTATGCTAAACCCAGTGGATTTTCCGAAAAGTGTACATCACAGCGCATGATTTCATTGCCGAGACAAATATCTTGATTCGGACTGGTACTCTCAATTATTGCTAAAGTCCTAGCTAGTAACCTTTATCGCCTTAACAAAATGTCGCAAAACTACCCGTTACCATATTCCAAAGATTAGCCGTGATCTGTTTTCACTTAAAAAGATCAAAGAACTTCACAAACTTTGCATTGTGTGGGAGCTAAGGTAAGCTTACCAGATTTGAATCATTATCTAACAACAAAATCGTCAAATTTGATGTGCATCCAATACTTCACTTTAACCTTAATTTTTGTTTTAATTATAAATGTTAGGATATTTATAGTGACAACCTCAGTTATAGTGGTTTAGATTAATGTTAACTGCATCTAGGGCCAGATTTAAGTTACACAAGCTATAGCTTAGGGCCCCCAAAATTAAAATATATTATAACAGACTTATAAAGGTCCCCATATCTCAAATAGCCTAGGGCCTTATCAAGTTTAAATCTGGCTCTGACTGCATGGATGCCATTTATCCTTGGAATTAATGCATGTATTCTGCTGCATAATGGCATGATTTATAAATTCATCCTAATAGAAAGTTGAAACAACTGAAACAGATATGTTCATCATCTGTATATTCTTTCTGGTAGTACTTGTAAAACTGAATAAATGTAGAAATGATAAACTTCTGTTAATTTTACCCAACTATTTTGCACTTTTCAAACCATTTGTCCTAGATTCATTTTCTAAGCTAATAGAGGTAGTATAGAGTTTTCTATGAAATTGAAAACTTTGGTGGTTAAAATACTTTCATTCAAGTAATGAAATGATTTAAAAGATTAAATATATTTCAAAAATTATGGTTAAGCTTTCTTGTTTTTGATATCGTTTAACTTTTTAAATCAATGCTGAAATGAGAAATGAATAATGCAGGAATGTATAATTTAGTTGTCGCTTAGTATGCTGAGCATTATACGATGCTTGTGATGCCATTTTAATTCAGTAAATCAACTAGTATCTGCAGTTGATACTCATCCATATATTTTTAAGGACAAGTTTGGCTTAGTTACACACATTGGGATAAAATTCAATTTTGCGAGTAAGATTTGTTTAGGTAAGAAATCACCTTTGCTAATTGTAATGTTAACAGCCAGTTGTAGACTCATTGTTTCAGTTTAATTTTTATAAAACCTATCAAATTAATTTTGTTTTTGGTAAAAACGATACAAGTACTGATTTTAACAATTTTGTCAAGGGTCAGTTATCTATATTCTGGAACCAATTTTCTGCTTAAAGCTTCTCAGTAGCATAAATAACAATTTAGTGGCAGGAACCCTGTCTAATAGAGGGGGCATTTGGGAATATTTCGGTTTTTTACATATTTATGAACTAATTTTGTTCCTGCTATCACATCAGCGAAATTATCGTTATCTGAAAGCAAATCTTACTTAATTCATCTCTTAATCAGGAAGTACAGGTCTTTGACAAAC